AATATTCTAAGCAATGTTTCTAAACTCTAAACGCTCTAAAAGAACACAAAATGTCATGATTTCAGCTCTCTGCCTCCACCGCACTGAGCCACCTGCAAGTGCGCTTGGCCACGCCCACTTTTAAGCTCTGCATGCAGAACAGCTGATCAGCTGCAGCAGGAAGTTTATTCTGCAGTAAGGGCTGCACAAAGGTGCAGGAGCAGCTTTTTCTGCAGCTCTGGGCTGCAGAAAGGTGCAGCAGGTGCTAAATAATTTAAAATAACTTTTTTTTTAATCCATGCCAATTGTGTGGCTTATCCATCAATCAGCCATTTGTGTGTCATGTACAAGCCCCCGGGCAAATGGTGAGGGTTGTGCCAGGAAGGGCATCCGAAGTAAAACACTTTTGCCAAAACCATTATGCGAGTTCATCTAAGCGACACCATACCGGATCGGTCGAGGCCCAGGTTAACAACAACCGCCACTGGCGCTGTTGACAAATAGGGTGCAGGCGGAAATTGTGCTACTGTTAGTCGAAGACCACGAGGAGGGAAACGTATCAGGAGACAGAGGGAGAAGAGGAAAGTCAAGAATGTAGTACTGAGGGTAGCAACTCTAAATGTGGGGACAATAACAGGCAAATGTAGAGAGCTGCTTGACATGATGCAGAGAAGGAAAGTAGATGTTTTATGTGTCCAAGAGACAAAGTGGAAGGGCAGCAAGGCTTGCAGCAGTGGAGCAGGGTTTAAACTGCTTTACCATGGTGTGGATAGAAAGAGAAATAGGGTAGGGGTGGTCCTAAAGGAGGAGTTGGCAAAGAATGTAGTAGAGGTGAAGAGTGTCAAATAGGGCGATATGCCTGAAGGTAGAAGTAGAAGGTCTGATGCTAAACATCGTCAGTGGTTATGCTCCAGAGGTTGGATGTGATGAGGAGGAGAAAGATACATTTTGGAAAGGTCTGGATGAAGTGATATAGAGTATTCCCAGGGAGGAGAGAGTGGTGATCGGAACAGATCTGAATGGACATGTTGGTGAGGGAAACGGAGGGGTTGAGGAAGTGATGGGTAGGTTTGGTGTCAAGAAAATAAACCAGGAAGGACAGATGGTGGTGGATTGTGCCAAGAAAATGGAAATGGTTATAGTCAACACCTATTTCCAAAAGAGGGAGGAACATAGAGTGACCTATAAGAGTGGAGGAAGGAGTACGCAGGTCAACTACATTCTGAATAGAAGAGGAAACCTGAGGGAGATTAGAGACTGTAAGGTTGTGGCAGGGGAGAGCGTGGCCAGACGGCATCGGATGATTGTGTGTAGAACGACTGTTGTTGTGAAGAAGAGAAGATGAGTAAAATCAGAGAAGAAGACCAAACGGTGGAGGATGAAGAAGGAAGAATGTTGTGAAAAATTCAGAGAGGAGCTGTTAAAGGCTCTGGGTGGTAAGAAAGAGCTTCTAAATGACTGGACTACTAAAGCAACAGTAATTAGAGAGACAGGTAGGAAGGTACTTGGTGTGTCATCTGGACAGAAAATGGATGATAAGGAAAACTGAAAGAGATTAGCCAAGAAGAAATATGACAGTGAAGAGAGGAGACAAGAATATAAGGAGATGGGACGTAGAATAAAGAGGGAGGTAGCTAAGGCAAAGTAGAAGGTGTATGATGAGTTGTATGGGAGGCTGGACACTAAAGATGGTGAGAAGGACTGATTGGCGAGACAGAGGAATCAGACTGGACAGGATGTGCAGCAGGCTAGGCTTGTTAAAGATAGGAATGGTAATGTTCTAACAAGTGAGGAGAGTGTGATGGAAAGATGGAAGTAGTACTTTGAGGAGCTAATGAATGAAGAGAATGAAAGAGAACTAAGGACTAGCAAGTGGGAAAGATTAGTGAGGGTGAAGTACAGAAAGTTCTGAAAAAAATGAAGAAGGGGAAGCCAGTAGGACCTGATGACACACCAGTGGAGGTTTGGAAATGTCTTGGAGATGGCAGTGAGGTTTATGACTCAAATATTCAATGACACATTTGAGGGTGAAAACATGCCTGAGGAATGGAGAAGAAGTGTGCTGGTGCCCATTTGTAAGAACAACGGTGTTGTACAGAATTATAGCAACTACAGGGGAATCAATTTGATGAGCCACACGATGAAGATCTAAGAGAGAGAGTTATAGAAGCTAGACTTAGACGAGAGGTGACTTTTGCCCCTTTTCCACTGTCATCCATGGGTCAAATATTCTCAGTTCAGACTGTTTTAGAGGTATTTTCCATCAGTACTTCATACGTGTTTCGCCCCCTTATTTTGGCCCTTCTTCTCAAGGGGTCCAAGAGAGCCGAGCCGTTACGTCAGAAACAATGTCGGTCACTGATTGGTCAGGGGGAGGAGTCACTGGATCTCTCAGAAACTTTTCACCAATCCGCCATTTGCAATTACTCGGAACTCGGAGCAGCGGCTGGACCTATTTTTAATATTTTAAAAATAATGACAACACTGTGTTCTAATGTTGAAGTTCACGCATTTTTTTGTACTTGGCTGACGACAAAATTCAGAGTGAGCAAGACTGAGCTCCACCAGTTTCCCCGAAGCCTGCTCAGGGCATCATCTCCTCAGCTACAAGCTCTGCCGGTCACCACGGAAGATTCTCCGTGCTGCCGGTTCAGACTTCGTGGTATAATGCTGAAGTTCAGGCGTTTTTTTTTGTGTTTGGTGACGGGCGAACAAAATTCAAAGCGAGCGCGGAGGATCATATGAGCTGCCGACATGTTGAAGCACACGAGGCCGGGGTCCAGGCCCGGGCCTCGTGTGCTCACAAAGGCCAGATTCTGAGCTCTGGCAGATGGAAGGACCGGGACGGAGGGTGGAAACATTTTTTAAAAAACATGTTATGTATAAAAAAATTAAAAATGTTATCAGTGAAGATTAAAATGGTAAATGGTAAAATGGACTGTACTTATATAGCGCCTTTCTATCTTTATTGAGATACTCAAAGCACTTTACAACAATCTGTGTCCTCATTTACCCATTCATACAGCACTCTACTAGATCTCTACAAAGATAATTGAACAAATCATTCTAAAGAGACTAATCAGAGCTTTATTACATTCATACACTGATGGGACACACATCAGAGGCAATGAAGGGTTCAGTGTCTTGCCCAGGGACACTTTGGCATGTGACCGCTGTGGGGTTCAAACCCACAACTCTTGCATTGGAGGACGACTGCTCTAACCATTCAGCCACAGCTGCCCCTGTGCCAGCTCTATCATGAAATCCAACAATCCAAGTCGTTATCAACGCTCCGTTCAGAAGCCTGTATCACTGATGGTATGGGGTTGCATGAGCGCTTGTGGCACGGGCAGCTTGCATGTCTGGAAAGGCACCATTAATGCAGAG